TGTTTATAAGTTGTTTTCGAGAGTCATTACGAATCGTCTCGCGCGCAGGTTTGACGACTTCCAGCCTCCCGAACAAGCCGGGTTCCGAAAAGGCTTCAGTACCATAGACCACATTCATACGCTGCGGCAGGTAATTCAGAAGACCGAAGAATACAACCTGCCACTTTGCTTGGCGTTTGTGGACTATGAAAAAGCCTTTGATTCGATCGAGACGTGGGCTGTGCTACAGTCTCTCCAGCGGTGCTAAATTGACTATCGATATATCGAAGCGTTGAGATGTTTGTATGAAAACGCCACTATGTCAGTTCGCCTCCACGACCAGAATTCGAAGCCTATCCAACTGCAGCGAGGTGTCAGACAAGGCGATGTCATATCGCCAAAGCTGTTTACCGCTGCGTTGGAAGATGTCTTCAAGCTTCTGGACTGGAGCGGGCTGGGCATCAACATTAACGGCGAGTACATCAATCACCTTCGATTTGCCGACGATATCGTGGTCATGGCTGAGACCCTGGAAGACCTTAGCAAAATGCTCGAAGACCTCAGTAGAGTCTCACAAGGAGTAGGTCTTAAAATGAACATGGACAAGACGAAAATTATGTCAAACGTCCATGTCGTACCTGCTCCCGTAAAAATCGGTGATTCTACACTCGAAATTGTCGATCACTACGTATACTTAGGGCAAACCATCCAGCTAGGTAGATCAATTTCAAGAAAGAGGTCAATCGTCGAATCCAACTCGGATGGGCAGCGTTCGGGAAGCTCCGATATATCTTTTCGTCCAAATTTCCGCAGTGTCTCAAGACGAAGGTTTACGACCAATGTGTGTTGCCAGTGATGACTTACGGAACAGAGACGTGATCGCTAACTATGGGCCCCATCAACAAGCTCATAGTCACTCAGAGGGCAATGGAGAGGGCTATGCTCGGAGTTACTCTGCGTGATCGAATCAGAAATGAGGAGATCCGCAGAAGAACCAGAGTGACCGACATAGCCCGAAGAATTGCGACTTTGAAGTGGCAATGGGCAGGGCACATAGCTCGTAGGACAGATGGCCGTTGGGGCAGTAAAGTCCTCGAGTGGCGACCACGGACCGGAAGACGCAGCGTGGGAAGGCCTCCAGCAAGGTGGACCGACGATCTGGTCAAGATCGCGGGAAGGCATTGGATGCGAGCAGCGCAGGACCGATCGTCGTGGAGATCTTTGGGGGAGGCCTACATAGGCCAGCAGTGGACGTCTTCCGGGCTGCGATGATGATGATGACTGCAATCATTATCATTAAATTATTAGAAAGATCTATCAAAGAAAAATCTATTCTACAATTAAAATTAAAGTATTTCGTACCAGATAGATATGTTTTTCACGTATCTACATAAAGATCCACCTGTACATGCCCACGAATTTTATACATTCTATTTCATAGTTCTATTCGTATATTTATTTTGTTCTATGTTGTTTATATATTAACGTTGTTTGCTTCCCAAAAATAAATGCTCGTAGTAGATAAAGCTAGCTATTTCTTTTATCTTGAAAATAAATTGTACCTAGCTAATTACACTTTTAATTTGGCAGACAAAAAACATCACGTGGAACTTTCTTCTCATAAACTAATTTTAATTAATCGCGTAAACAAAGTAGCTCAGACCGTCCCGGAAACGTTTTGAATAAAAGAATAATAATATCCCTACAATGTAACCACACTGCTACAAGTCTTAAGAGGCAGCGGAAATTGTACAATATTATAGACAACATTGTGTCTGAAAGGAAATTATATTGATATTGTAGTCTATTGTCAAAAATATAGTATGAAATTCTAAATAAAATATACTAAAAATGTGACTATCTTCACTTTACGCCATTTCATATATAAACTTTTATTTTATTAATTTATGTAATTAATTCCAGATATTAATCAATGCTAAAAACCATAAACAGCGAAAGAAAAAATATTTTACTGGTTTTTTATTGAATGATAATAGAATGGCATAGCCGTCTGCGTTAGCGGTTTACGCTGGCTAAGCAGCAGTGGAGTATGATAAGATGAATGTGCGGTTAGGCCAATTAGCCCATCGTGCCAATTTACCACGAATTTCTTGTTGGTTTCCAAGGGGAATCGCGTGGAGTTCTATCTGACATTTAGATTTTAGAATCCACAATACTAACAATCCCATTTTCCCTAATACTTTACTGTTTGAAAAGTACATTATTCCAGATTGAAATAAGCAATATGTATATATATATATTACTTATATACAGAACTCTCAGTTATTAGCACCCGGGCGTCGCAGGTCAAGCACAAACAGTAGATATGTGAGAAGACCTTCGAAAACACAATGTGTTTCTGGTGGCACCGCTCATGACTTTGACCACAGAAAGACAATCGTGTCAGATAAGAACGGTCGCCGCAGATCGTCTAAACGCTTTACTGAAACTGACATCTTGCCTCTGCTCAGTCGCTCACGTCTCACCTTAATTAAAAGAGGGTGGTGACCTAAGGAACTTGCCGTTTAAAGATGCTGCATATTTTGTTACACAAACTTTATCTATAAAATGTAACAAATAAGTGTAATTGTTATTGCCATTTGGTATTAATGATCTGACTAATATTATAAACGTGAAAGTTGGTGAGTATGAATGGATAGATAGATCCATGTTTGTTACACTTCCACGTAAAAACTACTGAACAGATTTTGATGAAACTTTCCACTAATATAGCTTATTAATCAGAATAACACATAGGCTATTAATTTTATACAGGTGTCACCGGGGGCATAAGTAGCTATTATAATAAGTAATAAACATTCTGATAAATATTATAGGACATCTTTATCTGGATTGTTGAAAATGACAAAATTGTATTATTTATAATGAGACGTTAAAACATATGAATTTTGCAAAAGCTCTTTATTGACAGATTTCAATAGAAGTCTGTAATTATGTACAAAAAATTGTGACTTTAATAAAATTAATATGAAATTAAAAGGAATAAACTTTTTCGATAAAAGTTATAACCAATTTATAATAATCATCGTGTTACATAAAATAACAACAGTATAATTAGTAATCTTCTATTTTTCTTATACCTTAGAATTTATTGACATAGTTTATCTTAGTAAACGACCACAATTTAAAACATGAATGTACTTGTAATTTTTTCTATTTGTTGAACAACCAATAGTCTTTAAGTAACTAAAAATCTATAAATTCACACCAATTTCGTTCCGAAGTTTTATGAGTATCTACTTATACACTTCTACCAGCATTCAATAATATTAAATGAGTTTCCATAATATATGAACTATTTGTCGGAGCCATAAGAACTCTGAGTTAAAGATCCCAACTAGATCCCAACCCCATCAGTTTAGGAATGTGTGATTTGCCTCTATGAGTAATTGTCTGACAAATATTGATAAGGGTCTGTTCATAGAGCTTCAAAGTTCACATAATCTCAGAAGTTACATGCAAAGCTCTATTTCAAATAAAATAATTAGAATAATATTGATTGAGTATTATGAACTGAAGTATTAAATATTTGAAATAGATAATATGTTGTTACATAGTTATTTAAAAACACATTTTGAATAGGATGACCTATTAGAAATTAGAGGATGGAAAATAACATCAGCATAAAGTATTAATTTGTCATATAAAAATAAAATTACGACTATATATAAGTAGATAGACTATACAAAGAGTTAAAACAATGAAATTTCGTAACTAATCTTAACTCCATTAGGAAGTTTAGAGAATAGAGCTTTATTATTAAAGAAAATTAAAGGTAAACAAACGAGAAATTATTTTAATAATTAATTCAATTATGGATGAAAATGACCTACCCACGTTTTTACGGGTGAATCGGCTTTGAATCAAAAGTTATTTAATCAGTGGGCGTCCGATATCTAAAGATAGTGTTGGTCTTAACTAACTTCAAAGAAACTTCATTTTAATACGATTTAAACCCCCTACTCATTAAACTGGTACTTCCTACTTTTAACTATTACTTTCGAATCAAAAAGTAAATTGAATAAAAACTAATAGAGTTCTGTGACTGTTGTAGGTTACCAATTTAACAGATTAATGAATACGATTACAATCCACAAAAAAGTTACTTCATTTCGTCAGTAGTATAGTATTAATACGAGAAAAAAGAAGCCTTAAAATAATTTTCTAATTGCACATAACATTCTACTAGCTAAAAAACATGTGTAGTTTGTATTTTAATTGCTACATGTATCTTGTATATGTTTTATGTTTCAATAAACACACTATGTACTGTATACGTATACATATCTATGTATAATTTATTCTACCCAAAAAAAAACCCGAATGTAATAAATTTGAAATGCTATCTGTTGCAAAAAAGTCACAAAATATTCAGCTTTGGCAATACAGTCAAAATATGTCCTAAATTAATGACCACTTTCTCTCATCAGTCAGGTGGAATTGAAATTTATATAGGAGATTCTTGATGCCATTTACTATATGAAACTAATTGTACATATCTTGGTTCTTCTAAGTGAGGCAACAGTACCTACCATAACAACTAAGAATCGTCCAGCATTAATTAACATAATGGAAACAGAAGTAAATGTTTTTCCACCTTAATGTTTTACTTTGACATTAACGAAGTAGATTTGCCACTCACCCTCCTCCATCCATAATATAAATTCTAAAAAGATCGGTGGGGGGTTACAACCATTGTTTATTCTTTACATTACAATATTACTATTATATAGCTATTCTATTATAGTATTATGTAAGTAGCAATAGAAAACTTTTTCAAGAGTGCAAAGTCAGTTAAAAACAAAGTCGCAAGAACAGATTGTTCTATATTCATGAAATAAAAGTTCTCTGGACTCCTATACTAATAATTATTATAGGTTAAATATATGTTGATACACGTTTCTTGACTATTGCTAGTATTTAAAAAACGAACGTTTTGTATAGTTCATTTGAATTTACGACTCTATATCAATCACACTAAATATATTATTTGTTTACAGTGAGACGTGTGTCGCCTCAGTTTTCTATACCACCGCCTCCGCGCACTGAGGTCATGCTGGGCGGGAACCTGACGCTCAAGTGCGTTGCCTTCGGATCACCTATGCCGACTGTTAAATGGAAAAAAGGTAAAACGCTTAACTAATGACGTTAATAATTACTTCACTAATATCGACAAATAAATGTTAGTTATTTTTTAAACACCGAAGACTTAAGAATTACAATAATGTACTCCTATGGTTTTCCTATCCATAAATATCTATACTATCGGTCAGCGCCGTAAGAAGAAAAAAGCGCCTTTGTATTAAATGATCCCAACCCCATCAGTCTAGGAATGTGTGATTTGTCTCGATGAGTAATTGTCTGACAAATATTGATAAGGGTTATTCGGATCTATTCAAGATCTTCAAAGTTCACATGATCTTATAAGTTATATGTGAAGCTCTATTATAAATACAATTACAATATGATAATTATGTTTATCGACTCCATGTCATTTACTGAAGTACTAATATGAATGACTTGAATTTCCCTTTTAAGTCTTTATTGTATTTTTTCTACGGTAATAGTACATTCTGTGCAGATAGTGAACTAGTTCATCTGGAATATTTTAATGAGAGTTTCTTTACAGAGACTCTTTATATAAGTTGTCTGCGTAGATACTTTTGTTACAGCTATTTCTGCCATTAAACAGCTTGCTTTATAAGCTGTTTACCGGTTTAAGTAGTACTAGGCAGTAAAATTACAGGAAATTCTTTCTTAAAAGTGGTATCGTATGACTAGTACCAAGAACTTCTTGTAATGACAAACATATCGTCGCCTAATGCGGCAACAGGCTACGGTTGCCAAATTCCATCAGTTTGTCCATCATATTCTTTGTTATTACTCATGAAATATATGTGGAATTGCTAAATAATATATTGATATTTATATCAGGTTTGACCCAATGGTTGACGCCCGAAGATAACCCACCACTTGGCCTGAATACTCTCACTTTGGAGGATATCAGAGAATCGGCTAATTACACGTGTGAAGCGGCCAGTGTGCTTGGCGTCATTGAAACTACTGCTGAAGTCAAAGTGCAAAGTAAGTTACTTCACGGCGATGTGAGGCAATTCGTTAATCTAAGCTATTTGAAGTTATATAGTGATCATACATAAGATCGTAAAGACAGTTTATCTCTGTCTAGCGCATAAAAACATAGTATCATAAGAGTAACACATAGTAGTAAATGAGATAACTTCAAATTATTGCATTTCATCCAATAAATTTTAATTTTTTCGTTGTATAATGATTTTTGTTTTCATCTGAACTATCATCTATATTTATTCGTAACTAGCTGCAGCCGTGACTTCGTCCGCATGGAAATTAACTTTATTATTCAAAAATAATAGACTTTTCCTAAAATGAAAGTAGCTTAAGTTACTCCCTATTACATCAGCTACCTACCAAAAAAAGTCCCGCTAAAATCAGTCCACCCATTTCAGACATTAGCCGCGACAAACAGACCGACAGACAGACAGAAAAAAAAAATATTATTAAAAAGTGTTTTTTGGTGTATGTACCATATTTATATTCATATGCATTTAGTAAAAAATGGTTATTTCAATATTACAAACAGATACTCCAATTTTATTTATATGTACAGATAAATCTTCTACTTTAAAATTTCATGTATATTCCATTTATACTCGTATTATGAAGAAATATAATCCTGTGACATAAAGATAGCATAATATTCTTAGTAATAGCATAATCAATTTTATCTACGACTAACGACTGCTTTTTTTACGACCGTAGGTACATATTTATTTCAATTCTTGTTATATCATATATAAACTACATTTACAAGAATTATCTAACGCACGTATACTGCTCAAATTGGGGAATACAATACTAACATAATATATTATTGTACATTGGTGGGTACAAGGAAAACAGGAGTTCCAAATTAACTGTACATAAATATTTAAACGAGACGTTTGAATAGAAAGCACGACTCAATTTCCAATACTAATTTCAAATGTCAACCCCTTAACCGCATCATTATTTACAGTGAATGATTAATTTATTTCATAAATAATTAAAACCGAACGGATTCTTAGTATTTCTTAATTAATCTATTAGTCATTTCGCTTGCTGTACCGAAACGTTAAGGACTGGGAAGACGACTGACTGAATCAAATTACACTCATAATTTCTTCGGATAACTGTTGCAAATTTATGGTAATAACTCCTCCGAGGTGGAAAGAGGGATTTACGAAAATCAATTTGATAAATTGCGCCAAGTCGAGACATCCATTATGAATTAGTGTTATAATTCATAATTGAAAGGGTTGGAAAGTTGCGAGGCTCCTCGGAGACAAACGAATGTCAGCTTGATTAATGATTAATTATTGTTACTTTGCATTCCGTTTTCTCAATTCAATTCGGATGGGATTAAGTCCAAGTATCTAGTAGTCGCCCATGGACCTATTTAATATTGATGACCAGAGCCATTAATACAATTCACGTTTTGAACATTTATATAGATTACATGTGAATCATCTTAATCAGCACTAAGTAGATCAATCTGATCAAGGAAAAACAGTCCATTTATGTAAATACAGCTATATTGAAACTAATGAGGTTGATCTAACAAAACATTATGTAGAAGGTACTTCAACTATCTATCTTGACTAAAATTATAGTCTTAATAGTTTAATTATAATCCTGATAATCTCAGTTTTTTTATGTATATAAAGAAATTAAATTGTGTGGTTGTTGTGAACTATGTGGTTATCATACTTGTCGGTGGTTCTTTAATGTAGGCTTCGTGGCAGGTGCGGTGACTTCAACGCACCTGTTGAGGTCGATGCAAAATAAAAGATCAGCACTTTTAACCAGTAAATTATTTTTTTTCTAATTATTATGCAATTGGAACAATGTACACTTTACCATGGCAGTCGGAAGAGAGAAAATTGCCATTATACGAATATGGTAAACAAAAAATATAAAATATTATAACTGTCATATAATTTTTTAAAGTCCTCCTTCTAAAATCTATTGAAACAAAACCTGACCTCATTACCAGAGGTACCTCAGTCTCATCTATTTCAGTCGCCAAGCAGCGTGTAAGCTGTTTCGATTGTAGGATGCAAATTAGACAATGAAATTACAGGATAAAAGATATGTTATAGTACTTCTCTGACTAAGACTGATTAAACCACTCGTACCTTACGAGTGGTTTAATGCAAACCATCGTTTCTTATGCGACTCACGATGGGTTGCTTAAGAAAGATTCTTAACTATCCTATTGCTCGCAGCACTCCCCGGTCCACCATCAGAAGTCAGAGCCTCGGAAATCACAGCAACTACCGTACGCCTAGCTTGGACTTACAGTGGACCAGAAGAACCTCAATACTATGTCATACAATATAAGCCAAAATATGCTAATCAGGTAAACTTTATACTTATTATATATTTATGCATTAAGACTTAAATCTAATGGCAGCATATAAACTAGCTAAAATATCGAAATGTAATATATGCTATAGCAGCAATAATAGGTACATAAGTAAAAAGAAGAGAATGCTGCCAGCAACAATCTATTATTTATTTTCTAGGCATATAGCGAAATATCAGGTGTTATCACACAATATTATTCGGTGACGAACTTATCACCATACACCGAGTATGAAATGTACGTGATCGCGGTGAACAATATTGGTCGAGGTCCTCCATCCTCGTCAGCTGTCATCACCACCGGTGAAACTGGTACGTATTTATTATTATTAGTTAACATTTTGATCTCTGTGATTCCTCTACAGTAGTTAAAAATATCATTCGAAAATCGGATCCAGACCAGAATTATTTTCACAAGTCCGGTACTTTACTAGGAACTACTTCACACAAACAATTGAAGGACGCAAAAAAGGATTAGTTTATATTAAACTGTTAGAAAGAAAAATATGACTACAATTTGTTTTTTTTTCGGATTTATAAACAAAGAATTTACTTTTAGAAGACAATTAGAAATATATTATACCTTTAGCTTTATCTTTATTATATGATATCATAAATAACTGATCTAAATAGAAGTCTCAAATTAAAAGTTTAGAAAAATAATATAGTAGTATTGTAATAAAAAAACTATTGAATTCGTAATTTGTAATGAAATATCAATCATCATTAAATTTCATTATTTTTTTAACTTCTAAACATTTGGCCATTTGCTTATTTTTGCGTTTCAGTTCAATCGTATCGCTTTACTATTTTGTAATATCAGAAATTTGTTTATTGCTTACATTCCGTAAATTGATAGTTTTCGTTTAGTGCGCTAATTGAGTTTTAAGATTTCTTTGACCGTCTTTACATGCCTACATTAACGCGACGTACAACTTTCGCCGCGGCTTCATGTAAGTTTCGCTTGAAATCGTTTTTATTCCATTCTTATATTCTGTTTTTATTTTTTTGCACATTTATTTTTCTGTTAAGTAGAATATAGACGTAGTGCGTAACTTTATCATTTAATTTTATCATGCACCATTTCGTTAAAATTATCGATGTTAGGTTAAAACGTTAAACAATCATTGTCGTATGTTGTCGTTTAATTAATGCGTTTATGTCTTGTTCTCTTAGTTATTTTTAATGCCATTATAATAATACCTATTATCTTTTCCTTGCTCACTTGCAGTGGATTCCTTGTATGGAGGTACCAGTAAGTATTCATAATACGTTGTTACAACTTCTGGTTTATTTTGGGTTTTATTAATCAATAGGGTGTCTAAAATAGCATGAGTGTTGGCTATTAATTTGTAATATTTTAATATTATGGGTGTATTTTCTTGTAAGTGTTTGCAACTATTACCTTTAATAGTCGTTAGTCCTATATGTATTATAATGTGATATCACAAAAGCTTATTATTTTTGTTTTAAGATTCCTTTGCATTTTATTCTCGGTATATCCAGTCAAGTACCTATCAAGTCTAATTTACCACAGCGAAATATTAAATTTGACTTCTTCCTCGCTTCAGTTTCAAATTACCGGACGCGATGTCACGAGACAGACAAAAAGCAAAACTCTGATGAGTTGGTAATGAAAACGTTGCTGTATCAAAATTGTTAGCAGGTTTTTTTATGTATTCTTTACATTTCTAATAAAGGAAAAGTTTGGACCGGCGCTACGACCCGAATTCAGCTCCCAAACGAGATTATGGCGTTTTAATATTGCACAGTCCTGAAAAACTTTTATTGTTTCGTCCTTTCCGAGTATTATAAACAGAAAAGAGATTTTTCATTGAGTAACGCCCCTTTTTCGTGTTAGAGGCTATGATTACAAATCCTATTAAGATTGCTATTGTGCCCGGACGTTTATTGTCACATTTTTATTTTCATTTTCGTACATAATTGTGATGAGCCGACTCGTGTCTTAATTTGATATTGTACCGTTTTCGTATTATTACTTTTATGGTAATGGGATTTAAATTATTATACGTTTATATTCAGGATATAACGCTTAAGGTATTTAGGAGAAAAGTAAAAGAAATAATTCGTTGTCGTAATTATAAGATGAAAATAATGTATTAAATTGTATTATATATATATTACAAATACCAAAGTTTAAACATTAGGTACGTAACCTAATTATTGAAGAATTATTTATGATTTTCTTTATTTATAAAATACCTTACATAAGCCTTATATATTCAATATAACGTCTTTTGTCTATGTCTAATGTCCAGTATGCTGAAATATTTTTCTTGCTTTAGTTTAGGGCGTATCTAATTTTCCATCTTGCGTTTGTATAGCTAGCATGCTACTATAGCTTTGGGCAGTGATTTTATGATAACTTGTAGTTAGATATACGGGATATTGTTGGATAAATATTTTTAGCAATAAAATTATAAATAAAACGCACACAGATATACTTACCACTGTAAACACATACGAAGATATTTGTTTGCTGTTCCCTGAGTGTTCCCTGAATATGAGCTTTGTGGTGAACATAATATTCGCCTTATCCCTGATTCTGATTAACATAATTGTTAATACTTAGTAAACATACACATGCGGTTATGATGAGCGGTTCGCCGTTGCAACTCCACGAATTTTAATAATCTGTGGCAATGTTCGTTTGCGCGGGAAAAGGGAAACGCTGCATTTGCGTGTCAGTTCCTTTTTTTCAACAAACTATTATGTTCTACTTTTATTTTATAAAACACATAGTTATAACTCTATACGGACCCAAATTTATTATATTTATTTTTAACAATTATTATTTCAAACATATCATCAATACATGAATTTACCAAAATATCTCCGATTACATTTTGTCATTGTGAGAGATGGGTACCATCTCTGAAAAAAAATAAGACATGACATACAATCAGTATAAAGCTGATTTGAACAAAAAATCTTTATAGTCTTTTTTTATTAAGTGTCAGTACCTATGCCGTTCATATACAAGGCTATTTCTTTACAGAGTTACAAATAATGTAATGTAATGTTACCTACTCGTAGTAAAATATAAAGCCGAATTCAATTTTAGTCAATTTGTTTATGTCTATAAATGGTATAGAGCAAAATCGCTGTTATGTCTGCAATGTTTGTTTTTCATGCATATAATGAGTTATACCACCTTAATGCATATAACCATACACTATACACCTATTGTTCTATTAATTGATCATAACATTATTAGTGTGGATAATACGATTATTTTTATTCGTTTTAGAACCCGGATCCGCGCCTAGAAACGTCCTGGTCAGACCGTTGAGCTCCAGCACAATGGTTATACAATGGGATGAACCAGAGACACCCAATGGACAAGTTACGGTAAGTGTGTATAATCACAATCATTATCTTTATTTGTTTTTTTAATTATTTTCCGTATTTTTTTTTTTTTTTTTCTTTTGTGTACGTAACGTAAAAATGTCTAAAGGAATTAGTATGATATTTTCAGAGATTATGTTGTTAAATGTGTGCCAACAAATAGACTAACGAGATCTTAGTAAAATACTCATTATGTTCATCAATTTCACTACTCTTTATTTTGTTTCAGGGATATAAGATATTTTATACTACCGACCCCTCGCAACCGTTACAGTCTTGGCATTCGCAAATGGTAAGTACGATAGTGCATTATAAAACTATATATATATATATATATATATATATGCTAAATATTATATTTAGTTACTTGTTTCTATAATCATGAAATAAGATGAAATAGTAATCAAAGGTACATATTTAAAACTTAGTAGGAAAAAGTAAAAATATTAACGAAATACTAACGGAAGTAAGTTATTATCTATTCAATAGTTGATTTCATATGAAATGCATTCAGATAATTACCATCGCATATATACTATATCAACCATAGACAAAATTTTATGTAACGGCCGTAATACCACTGCGTTGGCGTTCTGGAGGACCAATGTATTATGCATATGTACCCTGCAATACATACATATATAGGATAGGTTGCGAATTAATATTATTATGTACAGATGGACAACAGTCATCTAACGACCATAAGCGAGCTTACACCGCACACTGTATATACGATACGAGTGCAGGCGTTTACCTCAGTGGGTCCAGGCCCCATATCTGCGCCTGTACAAGTGAAAACTCAACAAGGTAAGTCAATAGTCAATACACTCCTCTCCCCATATTATTCATAATAATTCGAAAAGCTAAATAAATTTAAGATATAAAATGAAAAACAATTATGGAGTATAACGTTTGAAATTTGATTAATGTATTACATTACAACATAGGTGTACCATCTCAACCGTCTAACCTAGTAGCTGTAGAGGCTGGAGAGACATCAGTAACATTGTCGTGGAGACGGCCAACACACGCCGGAGATAACATCGTGTCCTACGAACTTTACTGGAATGATACATATGCAAAAGAACATCATCGCAAGTAAGTAATAGCGATTTATTTATGACTGTTTGGAGGTTGTTCCTGATACAATTTAAGTTTTAAAAAAACTCCAATCATAACAAAATTAGTAGAAAAAACGACGACACTAAACCCTATCGCATTGCTTGAATAACTATTAAAATGTGATCAGGATTATAATAAAATAGAGTAGAAGTAATCCTTAATCAAATAAACTTAACGTAAGTACTTTTGTACAGTCATATTTTTTAGAATCTGCCACACAATCGGAACGCAGTCTCATCACAACAAGAATGAGCAAGAAACTTGCGTGTTGCTCTTTTAAATAAATGTTTTTCAGAATTACAATCTTAAGAGTTTTGTTGACATAAATTGACAATGATATCATGTAAAATAGAATAAACATAGTCAAATTGTAAATCTCATACTTTTGAAGTGATTTGTAAAGTGTCAAACTTGCATAATATTGTTCCTAAAACGCAAACGTATTTTTTAGTTGGCAACGTTTCGACAAACTTGCGTCTTAAGGCATGATCATCGATAAACTTATAATTAGTTCATCGGTGATCTTGCGGGGCATGTAACCGTGCCGATATCGGAAACTATTTAACAACTTTTAGTGTTTACGTTAGTAAATGAAATCTCAGTATAATTGAATGATCAACTTATATTATTGTATGTACATAATTATACTTTGTGTGAGCATTTTATACGGGTAATGTCTAAAATGATCTACATTTTCGAAAAAGAAAAAGATGCTACACAGCGCTGTCTTGTCGTTTCTTTTTATTTTTCTTTAGAAATGATTCTCTCGCAAGATAACTACGACTTATTTGCTGCCATCGTAGTATAAAGAAAACTGTTTACGGTATAACAGAAATATCTATTATATGCTATTTCTATTTATAGATATTGTAATATGGCCTATAGCATAAAAAAATTTGATCTTGAATATGCAGTCAATAACAAAGCTCACGTCGTGTATTCTAAGCTACTTTTAAACTTTTTACGTATCGAAGTATATTACATTTTAAAATACCTTAATATCTTGTATATATTAATAGTTACTAGTTATGGCAGAATTTTGACTATTGGGTGACCCTAGCGGTGGCCCAATAGTTGAACTATTCTGCCATAATTAATTTAAATTATATGTTTCAACCTTAATATAAACTATTAAGATTCAAACATGTACTATAGTTTAACATATTATTTAGGTTCTATTGTCAAAGATTATACGTCTAAGTTTCATACACACATGTCAAAAACATCATAGTGTGCGTAATGTTTTTTTTTGTTGATTTAATATATTGTTTATGTATAATTTTAGAAAAATATTAGCATTCTGCACCATTTCTCTATATAAACTGTGTAATTGTGCGAAATATCATACTCCTTCGTCTCGGCAATTTTCGTAAGGGGTACAAAGTTTTTGTTTCGCATATTAATATAATAATTAACATCTGTAAACAGGCGGATACCAATAACAGAAACTTACACCCTCAATGGTTTATACCCCAACACATTGTACTACATTTGGCTGGCGGCGCGGTCGCAGCGGGGCGAGGGCGCGACCACACCGCCCATAGCAGTCCGAACCAAACAATATGGTATGTGGTACCCACAATGGTATGGTTGACAGTTGACGTCACGTGAGAGTGTGTTGTTATAGATAGCGATTAGGAAGGCGCTTGGTGGATAATTAAACTAGTGTTTATTCACTTATTATATTGCAATATGGGTGTAGACTCAATAACGGTAGGAATTTGATCATCATTAGAGAAGGCCGTAACGGTAGTCAAGTTTTCGAACTTAATATTTGTGCTCTCTCATATGCTAATTACGCAGATTTAACAAAATAATATAAATCTATTAAGTAGTGAAATGAACTTACGCATAATAACACCAAATTTTTTAAAATATACCGTTTTTTTTAATACACTCTATTTTGAGAATGCAATGGGGTTATATTATTTATCAATTCATAATTTGTTAATGATAATTAATCTTTAATACCAGCGTGTATAATTTATTTTACAATAGCAGACGTTTCCATATTGAATGCTGTTACTGCAAAACTTTTTTTACGACCTATTATTATATTAGTATATAGTTTATTTCTTCTTTTACGTATTCTAATGGTGAAATGAAACAGTTATACATTTGTCTTCTTACACCACCAAACAATGATAATAATAAATTTAAGTATTACTATACGAGTTCTGCTATAATCAACTAGATATTATATAATATCTATAAACCACTAAAATATTATATTACACATATTTATATTTATTCTTTATTATTTTAATTCTAATACGAAAGATACATTTGCTAAGAGCTTATATATTTAGAACTGTTTATTGTCCCTCATTTTCTTTTATAATAAGTTCATGTCTTTCCTCATTTATTTTCTAAAATTCATTATTGTTTAACTTGTTTTTCTTAAGGATTTCCACGTGTTTCATATTCAATGATAAATTCGTTTCGTTTAATTTCTGTATTGTTTTATTTTTATAAACCTGAAGACAAATTATAGGAATACTAGAATAAATCCAAAAAAATAAACACCTGCAAATTAACTACACCGTAAGGAATAATAATGTACATATTTATTTACATACCTGGTTTTAAAACAATGAAATAATGAAAATTACATTAATAAATTTAATTGTCATTATGTATATAACTAAAAATTATTTTAAGTAATAGGTATGATATTGTTAAAAATTACCTTATAAATGCAAAAGTATGTTCAGTTTTTTAATACATTTCCGAGGTTTACAATCTACCAAATAGTTACCTGTTTTTGGACCTAAGATCAACGTGATTTTTCCATGTCTTTTAAACTGTATTTACTCAATTCAAATACCTAAACTATGAACACAATCAATATTTTATGAGTACACCAGAGCGCCTTCAAAATCGTTCCCTTGAAAGTGTGTGAGAGTATGACACTTATTATGGTCGTCCAGGTAAACCCTAATGTAATATTTCACAATATAAGCACCTGCCCGGCACGCTGCCAGTAATTCAGCACAAGCACACGTTTTATATATCACAATATGTGTTTGTAATCGTACATTTGTCGAAACGGCAAAGTGTATGCATACATTATATCGTATTTACTATACTTGAACATAGCAGAAATTACATCTGCATCATATGCGTACACAGTGCCTTAGTAGTAGCTTTATGTTGTTCGTAGGTCAGTTTTAAATCTGAGGCTAATACCTCAAATGTCTTTTATTTATTTTATTTAACAATACCACAAATGACACTAACCACTGAAAAAATAAATCAATATAAAATAACTAAGTTATTTCTTAACGTTATTTGTTCATGTATATATATATAAAAGTTGCTCGTGTCATTGTGTAAAACATAATTATCACGATTTTCTTCCAACAGGAGAAAGTGTGACGGATGAGAATAGAGAAGTATGGGCGAGCGGATCTTGTATTCACATCACACTCACAAATATGTGCATGCCCTACACTTTATTTTGACGACTCGCGTCGTTATTACATTTATGTTCTCGCACAGTTACTTTTATTTTCCAATCGCATTCAGTGATTGCATCGGCTAGGTCGGTTGTGGGTTTAATGGGGCGCGTTGCACGCCAGCGCCGCGCGCCCATTTTAGTTTCAGGTTCTCAACCGCGGTTCCGATCTTTCGGATCCGTTCTAAACATTTTTCTTACCGACGAGCTTGTTTAGTTCCTGGAGCGCCTCCTATGAATGTCACCGCCGTGCCGATATCGCCCACTGCGATCCGCGTGTCGTGGCAACCGCCGCCCGCCGAACGGGCGAACGGCAGAATCGCATATTACAAGCTGCTTTGCGTGGAATCGGAGAGAGGAGACTCGGAAGCGACTGTCGTGAAACTGAACCAAACTTCGTTCACTTTGGACGAATTGCGTCGTTGGACCGAGTACCGCATTTGGGTGCTCGCTGGCACTAGTGTGGGCGACGGACCCGCTTCGTACCCGGTCACCGCGCGCACCCACGAAGACGGTACGTGTCACATTCATTCCTTGGCCACTTTGAAATTTGTAACATTTACTTCTGTCTCAATTTTATGATAAATTCTTGTTCAGTCTAAATGTAAATAATATTTTTTCTTGAAATAAATATGATCATAATTAGTTCTTGCTTATCAATATGTTTGAAATTTAAAATATCATAAAATTGTGAACATTAGGCCAAAGAAATACTTACTAATTAATTGGTTAATATCTCAAAAAAAACTTTTCACTAAATATAGTTCTTTGGCAATGTAATATCAGAGGCTACATATACTTAGTTGAGACATTACATTAAATGATAAAACATTAATGTACTTGTAACATTTTCTTCGTACTCTACATTACTTTTTAATTGTTTATTTTTAAATAGATCTTTACATATTCTGATATTACATTTTATTCTATTGCGTAGTGTACTGACAATATTATAATTATTAACTTTGGTCTTTAAGGTTACTGGACTGATGATACGTATGTTAAAACAATATTAGTAAAAACATTCATGTTATTTCCGTTGATTTAAATTCGCAAACAATATCATAAAATGAATGGTTTTACATCATTTAATAGTTTCAGTCGAAATTTTAACTAGTTCCCTTTAATAACCATCTTTACTAATTGAACTCCTGAAAGTTACTCAAATATAGTAGTTTCAATCTCGACTGAACGAAACTCAAATATAAACAAATGTTTGATATTTATTGGTGGTGGATTTGTAAGATTTTCATGTTAATTATATTCCGTATATATATAATATTATAATTCATAACGTCATATTTACAGCTTCCTTAATGCGCTGATAAACTATCAAAATTACTAATGTCATTTTTTCTTTTGTTCCCTTTTGTGAGCATATAGCAGGATTCTATTCAAGGAGGTTAATTCTCGTAACAAAATTTTACTATGCTTGCCGATAAACCATGTACTTATATTTATATCATATCACAGATGGTCATTTTCGTTTTATCACTGTATTTTCTTCGCTGTGTACAGCGATATGGAGTTGATATTCCCACTCACGATCACATGTAATGATTTCTTTTGGTAGCGAGTCGCACTGATTCGCTACCGATCAACTCGCTAAGATGGCACTCACTGAAATGCAAAATTTTATATTGCACCTGATAAGTATAGTGACGACGGCACCTGTATATTAATTTTGGCGCACAATTGTTGAGTATTTAGCAATGAACACAATTTTGCATGCTTTCTTTAAAGACACAGCACCGTTTTCGTTCAGTTAATTTCACTGGGCACCAGATAGGTTCACGTCTTGCTATACGCACTCTGTGACTTACATTTCTGATTGCGTTTACCAACATCACTAAGATTGCGTATAGCAGCGTTTGCACTTTTAGGAAGCACTCAGCACAACTAGCGACGACACGAGGTGAGAGAGCGAGTGCGTGACACATCCTAAGCGATAACCGTTTGAATTACTCATATTCATAAGCAGCATGTACATAAGTTATTGCGACTGATGAATTGAGAGAGTTCACTTGGTTATGCAGCTCAACACGCACCATGGCCCGAGCGCCGCATTTGAATACCAATACCGTCCCCACACGACACGCGCGCATGCTACTTACTATACTACCACAACTACTTCTCCACTCACTGTACTATCTCACTACTATCTACTATTAGCGGGAAAGCTGTGGACACAAAATCCTGAGGATCCAAAAAAATTGCATCTGCTACCAATTGGTCCATTTAAGGATCCAAGGGATTACATCCGCGACGCTCTTCGCCTGTATATACTTCGATTGCGCAGCTCGGTTACTACTAGTCTACGCGCTACCTATCTCTTTATCTCTATATCTCTATCTATCTCACTTACTCCTGAGCTACAACTTCTTGCCAGTAGCAATTTCTCTCTCGCCTTTCTTCTTTCTTCTGTATTCTCTATCAAACTTCTGTCGTGCATGCACACTAGATATTGTGACATATTAAACAAAATACTATTTGCCTAACGTTCGCTATTGCCGTTAACAACGTACGGGCGGGACTCAAAAGAACGCTACGAAGTATACAAGCAACGTCACTCCTGTAAAATATAGCATCCTTCGTTTGATACTGAACAGTTCTTAGAAGATCACAGCCAGTGGACAATGACACTCAGACACTGTCACTAACATCACTGAAGACAACACAAGGTACGAAATACACACACTGAAGTAAAATCGGCGCCCTATGATCAAACTTACACAAATGAAGCACACACACACAGACTGGCGCCGTCGCGTTAATCAATACATGTGCGTGTGAGTGTCTTCTCTGCGCAAGGGGGCAAGAAACAGAATTCTTATTATGTTTTGTCTTTTTCTGTTAATGAAATACTATGATGCAATTTATGTTTGCATAAAAATCAAATAGGTATATCTACGATATTCTTTACATAGATAATGATAGCATGTCATTCTGTTTACAATACCGGGAACAGAAAAAGACAATGCACATTACTTAGACCAAGACCGGAGTTCTAATCAACTCAGTTGAATGCGCCTCATAGATAGCTCGAAATACACGAAGAAATAATAAGAGTACCCTAATATCGCCAACAAGCGTTCTACTCGTAATCTCTCACTTAGTAGTTCCGTTCGCCCTGCAATGTTCGCACAATTTGTCTTAAATGTATTTGAATGCGTTTTTCTCTTTTTTCTCTCGTCACTGACTTTGTATGGGCCGCTGGTAACCCGTACAGCTATAAGGAGTGAGTACAAATTACTATAGTGCTTGTTTCAATGTGCGTTTGTGCTTGTGCCTATGCTTTAAGTAGTAAATAACCATTCTTCCTAGTAATATAATCTAATAACTAAAACAAACTGCAAGCGGTAACCTGTTGAGGACGCATGGATTCAAAGTTAAAACAGACTTGGTGTATCTTTTCTCCATTATTTGAGTGGTTTGATGCTCCCAAGTCTAATACTACTCCACTGCATGATCCCTTGCAGTGTGTGAATACAAAATCTTAGTTATAGAAATGCTGCTTTTGGATACCCATAGATTATTACTAAATGTTAACTCTTTGTAAACGCTTGACTTGAATTTTAGTTGTTCTAAACGATGTGGATTGGAAGGTAATGAATTTTAATTGGTTATGGTGATGTGAAAGGGCGTAATGATAATGTCTCAGTGTGTGTTGGTATTCAAATGCCCGATCGAGATGCTGAAAGGCGTGTGTAGACACTCGCCACGACCAAAATACTCTATCAGCATTACCGACGGCGTTTACCGACCGCACAAATCAACTTTGAAATTTTTCATACGAAGTTTTGCAGCGCTTATCGAAACATTTGACGCTGACGCTTTAATTCCGATTTAAGCCCTTAAATTTCGCTTAGGTAGTATTTTCTATAGCACGCTCCCGTAGATGCTGATAGGGCATTTTAGGTCTGTACGAAACCAGGTCAGGGAAATATGTCTCACATTTTATTTGTATATTCACAGTGCCCGGAGAACCTCAAGACGTGAAAATCAATGCCATCAACTCCACATCCATACACGTGACGTGGAAGCCTCCCCAAGAAAAAGACAAGAATGGAATTATTCGAGGTTATCATGTACACGTACAGGAAATGAGAGAAGAGGTATGTTTTGCTGTCAATATTGTGCTTACAATATCTCATCAATCTTATATATAATATATATATTTTTTTTTTTTAACTTTTTAGGGCAAAAACTTTCTCAATGATCCAATGCGTTTCAACGTTATGGATGACACTACACTTGAGTTAAATGTAACTGGACTTCAACCTGATACTAAGTATAATGTTCAAGTAGCTGCTCTGACAAGAAAGGGAGACGGAGACCGAAGTGCGCCAGTGTCTGTGAAGACGCCTGGCGGTGTGCCAAATAGGCCTACTGTCAACCTAAAGTGCGTAATTTTTTTAGGCTGTATTTTAAGTATTTTTAAACAGTTGCAAAATATAATTACCAATTTTTTATATGTTACAGGGTTTTGGAGCGAGAACCTATTGTGTCAATAGAATTAGAATGGACGAGACCATCGCAAACGTATGGAGATTTACTTGGTTATAGACTTAAATTTGGCATAAAAGACCGGGGTCTTGACGAAGAGAATTATAGTACTAAAGTAACTTCACGCAAACTAATTGATTTAGAAAGAGGCGTCCAATATGAATTTAGGCTTGCTGGTAAAAATCATATTGGTGTTGGTCAAGAAAGTATAAAATATTGGCTTACTCCTGAAGGAGCACCCAAAGGACCACCTACTAATATCACCTATCACTTCCAAACCCCTGACGTAATTAGTATTACTTGGGAACAACCAATTAGAGCAGATAGAAGTGGGCAAATAAAAAAATATGACGTCCAATTTTATAAAAAAGGAGATCAATCATCACTTGTCGAAAAGACTACAGAATTAACTAAAGCAGTGTTCACTGGGCTAGAAGAGGATGCACACTATGTTTTTAAAGTTAGAGCTTATACTGATCAAGGCGTGGGACCTTATAGCAAAGATGTTACGGCTCATACTGAAAGGGACATCGGTAGAGCGCCTATGTCAGTAAAAGCCGTTGCAACTTCAGAGTCTGGTGTTGAGGTATGGTGGGAAACATTTCGATCAAGAAAGAAAATTATCGGCTATGTTATTTTTTACACTATGACACCAGTAGAGGATCTCGATGAATGGAAACAGAAAAGTGTTCATGTAACACATTCTGCTGATTTAGAAAACTTAGAGAAATTTGCAGAATATGCTATCGCCGTTGCTGCTAAAACGGCGGATGGTCTCGGTAGATTATCTGAAAAAGTAACGGTAAAAGTGAAACCAGAAGAAGTGCCTTTGAACTTGAGGGCTCAAGATGTGTCCACTCATTCTATGACCCTTTCATGGGCATCTCCTTTACGCTTAAATCCTGTTAGTTATAAGATTTCATATAACGCTATTAAAGAATTTGTGGATTCACTAGGTATGACACAGACACAAGAAATACCAAAAAGAGAAATAATCGTAAAACATGATCGGACGACACATTCAATTAACGATCTATCTCCATTCACGACATATAATGTAAATGTAAGTGCTATTCCTAATGATGACTCTTACAGACCGCCGACAAAGATTACTGTTACAACACAAATGGCGGCTCCGAAACCTATGGTTAAACCTGATTTCTATGGGGTTGTAGAAAATGAAATTCTTGTTATTTTACCTCAAGCTTCTGAAGAATATGGACCTATTTCCCATTATTATCTAGTTGTAGTACCTGATGACAAAGCACATAATCATAAGAATCCCGATCAGTTTCTAACTGATGATCTAATTAAAAGTAACGTTAGGACTGACGACGAAAATGCTCCATATATAGCTGCAAAATTTTTACAACGAAACATTTTGTACACTTTTCATCTTGGTAATGACGATATGTATGAAGGATTTCTGAATAGAAAGTTAAATCCAAGCAAAAAATATAGAGTATTTGTGAGAGCCGTTGTAGATACGCCTCAGAAACATCTTTATACATCTAGTCCATTTTCGGAATATTTGTCCCTTGATATGCGTGAAGCTCCACCTGGTGAAGAACCCAGTCGACCCGATCCTAAAGATATTAATGGCGATCCAGAAATTAGGATTGAGGAAAATAGAAAAGAAGCGGGTATGGTGTGGGTCATTGGTCCTATAATAGCAGCTTTGATGCTTTCATTGTGCTTAGTTCTCGTGTTCATTCTAAAGAGACGAAGGCAACCGTGTAAAACACCAGATCAAGCAGCTGTTACACGTCCTTTAATGTCAGCTGATGTTGGTTTTGGTGCACCATCTGACCCTGTGGAAATGAGACGTTTAAATTTCCAAACTCCTGCCATGATCTCTCATCCTCCAATTCCAATTTCGGAACTTTCTGATCATATCGATAGGTTAAAAACTAATGATAATCTCAAATTCTCTCAGGAATATGAAAGTATTGAACCAGGGCAACAATTTACTTGGGATCATTCTAATATGGAAGTCAATAAACCCAAAAATCGTTACGCTAATGTAATCGCCTATGATCATAGTCGTGTCATCCTGCAACCCATTGACGGAATTCTTGGAAGCGACTACATAAATGCTAACTACTGCGATGGCTATCGTAAACATAATGCTTACGTTGCGACTCAAGGCCCCCTTCAAGAAACTTTTACCGATTTCTGGCGAATGTGTTGGGAACTCCGTACATCTACAATTGTAATGATGACAAAATTAGAAGAAAGAACGAGAATTAAATGCGATCAATATTGGCCCAGCCGCGGCAGCGAAACATATGGCATGATGACTGTAACAATCGCGGAAGTTCAGGAGCTTGCCACTTATTGCATACGTACTTTCCAAGTCACTAAAAACGGAGGTGCTGAGCGACGAGAAATCAAACAACTACAGTTTACAGCTTGGCCTGATCATGGAGTTCCAGACCATCCTGCTCCGTTCTTGCAATTCTTGCGACGTGTACGAGCCCTAAACCCACCAGATGCAGGCCCTCTCGTTGTTCACTGTTCCGCTGGTGTTGGCCGAACAGGGTGTTTCATTGTGATCGATTCCATGTTAGAACGAGCCAGACATGAACGTACGGTCGATATTTACGGTCATGTAACTTGCCTCCGGGCTCAACGTAACTACATGGTGCAAACTGAAGATCAGTATATTTTTATCCATGATGCTTTGCTTGAGGCCGTTGTTTGCGGAGATACTGAAGTCCCAGCTCGTAATCTGCATGCGCATATTCAAAAGCTTATGCGTATTGACTCCATTGAAAATATTACTGGTATGGAATTGGAATTTAAGAAGTTGGCTAATATGAAAGCTGACTCCAACCGATTTGTGTCTGCTAGTCTGCCATGTAATAAGCACAAGAACAGATTGGTTCATATTTTGCCATTTGAATCTTGCCGCGTTTGCCTAACACCTCGTGACGGCTCAGATTATATTAACGCATCTTTTGTGGACGGTTATCGGTACAGATCGGCCTATATTGCAACCCAGGGACCGTTGCCGGATACTACAGATGATTTCTGGCGAATGCTATGGGAACATAATTCTACTATCATCGTCATGTTGACTAAATTGAAGGAAATGGGAAGGGTAAGTTGTTAATTATTTTTGTCATTTTATTTGTATATTTAATATTCCTGTATTTAATATCGCCTGATGATTTTTAGGAAAAATGCCACCAATATTGGCCGTCTGACCGTTCTGTGCGCTACCAATGCTTCGTGGTGGATCCTATTGCAGAATATAATATGCCTCAATACATCTTGAGGGAATTCAAGGTACACCAATAATTTTATTATAAGAATTAAAGAGTATTATAATTTTTATAAAATTTGTTATTTATAAAATGCGCTATGGCCTAGTGGTTTTACTACTGAGGTAGTATTAGTAATTCGGAAGTAAGCTTCCAAATAATATATATATATCCATCTGACTCTCCGATAATGAAAATGCGGATATCAAACTAAAATTAATCCGAAAGTCAACGGTAGTCTCGCCACAAATACACCTAGCGAAATATAAACATGTCAAGTGTTGCTTCCAAATACGTCGACAAATGACAAAACGTGTGGTTATGTGCTATTCGATCCTGTCAAAACATACATGTATATGTACAGGTAACAGACGCTCGCGATGGGGCCTCCAGGACGGTCCGGCAGTTCCAGTTTACTGACTGGCCGGAACAAGGCGTGCCGAAGAGTGGCGAAGGTTTTATCGACTTCTTGGGACAAGTTCATAAGACAAAAGAACAGTTCGGACAAGATGGACCCATTACTGTTCACTGCAGGTGATTGCGATTGATACATTATATATTATATCGACTTTATATTATTATTTTTTATGTTTATCACAAATCTCATAAGATTTTAATGATTTCAGATAGTCCGTGACTAATTTATAATTCAGGAGATTGTTGTTTGTGAATAATTTAATTCAATATAATAATCCATACTAATATTATAAATGCAAAAGTGTATTTTTGCCTATTTACGACTAAAGGACATAATGCTATTTACTAACGGACTTTTCTTTTACCTAAAAACAAACAATGTCATTGTCATATTATCAATTTTACAATTTTTATACTATATAGTTATTCGTAATTAAACTACTTATACTATACTAGCTACCCTCCCCGGCATCGCACATGTATTATACATATAAACCATCTTGAATCACTCGTGTCTACTGCTAAAAACAGCATTAAAATCCGTTGCTTAGTTTAAAAGATCTAAGTGAACTGAAGCGGCAACTGACTTCATTTTATACTATGTAAAGATACGTAATTATTATGTAATCTATACTAATATTATAAAGCTGAAGAGTTTGTTTTTTTAATCGCGCTATTCTCAGAAACTACTGGTTTGAATTGAAAAATTATTTTTGTGTTGGATAGTCCATTTGTCGAGGAAGGTTTATGCTATATGACGTTATGCTATGCGACCTATAGGTGCGGAGCTGCAATGGAAAATATTTCGAAAGGTGGAGAAATGAAACGCAGACGAAGTTGCGCGGGTCAGCTAGTTCGTAATAAACTATTTCATAACTTAATGAAACTATTACATAGTAAAATGAGCATTATTTATAAGACTATAATAGTGGTGGCGTGGATCGTACAACTTATTTAAACTATTACATAATAAAATGAGGATAATTCATTAGTGCTGGCGTGGGTCGTACGGGAGTGTTCATCACACTGTCGACGGTGTTGGAGCGCATGCAGTACGAGGGCGTGGTGGACGTGTTCCAGACGGTACGCACGCTGCGCACCCAACGTCCCGCCATGGTGCAAACTGAGGTAACTTGTTACTACTACTACCCAAATACAACTTGGAGTGCCATCTGCACTCGCTCCCTATCATCCATTAAGCTGGAAAGGCTAGCTACGGCCAATAGCAATAGAGTAGTCAGAATTTATTATAGAAAATTCTTTATTCAAAAAAAATTGTTTTAACTGTGCCAATACATTTTTTTAAATAATGAATACGGAATGGTGCTCCTGCTGCTAATGGTTTAACTGGCGGGGCACCAGAGGATGATAAGATAAACATGGGGTCAGTTCAGTTAGCCCATAGCACTATAGTATGGCGCAAAACTGATAGATAGTGCTCACTTTAAAAATATAGTTACTCGTTCTCTGATTTACTGAAATCGATAGTTTGTTTAAATCTATTTGCAAATCTAGTGGAAAGAATGTGTATATAATGTAAGATGCTCCTGTTGATAATGCCTTATAGGGTTAAGATCGCTATTTTTACTAAACTGAAAATTTTAAATAGTATGTTAAATCTTTATTGTACACAGAAAACTGATCTATCTACAGAAAACTAATTAACTATAACTTAAAGCTGGCCTTAAAACTATAGTCAATGTCTTACAGGCAACTAGAAATATAAAAATGAAGAAAAATTTTGCTAATAAATACTAGCAGAAAAATATTTCCAATAACAACTTAAAACTAGATGTCTATAACATTGGCTTCATAACAGGACCAGTACGACTTCTGCTACCGCGCGGCTTTGGAGTACCTGGGCTCGTTCGACCACTATGCCAACTGACGCTGAGATATGCTCGTCTAAAATGGAACACTGGTCACTGATTTTAACTTATTATTTGTACTTAAATTTTCCGCCAAAATTATTTTATTGTCTCTGTGATGTCAGCAAAAGAGCATATCGAATATTTTTTAAATTATTGATCTCATGTTTATGGTCATTTATTCCGTCATTATAATATGTTCAAAATTTCTAATTAATTTTCTTAATGACTAATTATGTAAATAGATAAGTTATAAAGTTCCGTTTTATGTAAATAAAGCAAATTGTATTGTAATTTCGTCTCTATGCTCTTTTGCTGATACGCTCTACGTAAAATCAAAAGAATTTGTTGAAAAAAATATTATAAACAAGAACAGGAAGAAGTTTAATTCGCCATCCATCTCTGGAAAGTAATATTCGTTTAGTCGTGTTTATTTTCAATCGACCCACGAGACTGGCCAACTTAGAAGTCCATTATTATTCCCGGGCCGTTCTTTGTGCTTTTATTATCTGTGTCTTTTGAACTTGACAAGTGACAGAGTTCCACAACACTAACCCGTAGTGTTGTTCCCACGACACCGACTGATTGTACTCACCTCATTCATTTAAATTATATATCTAATGAGGCTAAACATGTATGAGTGCCTAGGAAAGCTACTTATGATATATTTACGAATGTAACCACTATTAAAAACATGATTGTGAGTCGGAAGGGTAATAACTACTTATAATTAATTATCCTATACTTATGATATACCTAAACACAGCTAGCTGTTCATGCTATTATTGTCTCTAAATTGGAACAGTATGTAGTTTATATAACTGTTGAAATATAATTAGGAACGATATAAACTATATAATATGAACACTATATATTAACATACTGAGATGTATTTAAAGATCGGTGTACTGTTACGCGTTGAAATTATAATTTGCAATTTAAAGTAAATTAGTGAAAAAAAAACAGTGCGCTTAGAGAACTAAATAAATTACGCGATATATTCAATTCCGATCGTCACATATATACAGACATAATTATTAAAATGTATAAATAGTTATTGCAGCTGTAATTAGAAGTTTATTTTTCATATCGGGTGTTAAAATATATAATTAAGTAGTGTAAATTGTGGTAACTCGTTTCACTATTGCAATACATTATTATAATAACTCTTAGACGAATCGGCTGTGTCATGTGAATTTCTGTGTCTGTCCTGTGCGTAGAACACAACTTTATGTAAATAGTTACATGAATCATTTTATAGATGCTAGAAATTTTTATCCTTGCCCATTTGTGTAACTCTTGCCTGAAAATGAATCGTCGAAACAAATAGTTTTGGCAGCCAATATTATTTTTTAAATATCGAAGTTGTTTATATATTCCAGAATGCTTTCCCATTGTTTTTTATTTTTTATTAAACGGTTTCCCACAATTGCTTGCTTTTAGAGGATCGTGATTTGATGACATATCTATTTGTAGGTAGAAAAAAATGTTTATGTCGGTGTGGTAATGTTTGAACATGATTATAAATGATGGTATGTGACTCGATCATTCGAATATAAATAATAATTAAAAGTTGTGAATATAAAAAAAAATGTAACAAACATGCTCTAAGAAAATGTATTGATTTAAGCTTTTTAGCGTTATCGTGTATAATACGAACAATACAATCCTAATTTATCCAAAATACGTAAGGACGTTAATTATTTAAAGAAAGACAACTCTCACAACTCTATCACTCTATTTTAAGCTATCTTTAAGTGTAGAACATTGTTTAATATTTTACAGTATTCCCTTTGCCTAGTATTGTATAAGATTTTTAGGTTTTTCACTCGTTTTATACAATATACCTACTACTTGTATCGATCTATTTACCTACGTATAAGTTAAATTTGAGCTTGTATGTAACATAGGTAATAAAATGCGATAAAAGCGCGGTCTTCAAACGTAACACGAAGATGCGCGAACATTTTAAAAATAAATAAAACGTTAACTAAGTACGTCTCGATTTGGCCGCCTAATTCGGCCGGTCGTTCGTAACTGCCAATCGTTTCACTTAGATATAATTGAAGTAAATTATAAAACAATAAAATACGAAACGTACGTAGAATTAATGAGAATAATTGTTAAATTGAGGTTATAGTGAAAATTTAATAATCGTTGATGAATCATGTATTTAGCAGGGTTCGGAGCATTTACACGTCAGTGTTTGGTGGAATGGGCAATCTTATTCCTTTGCTTAACGCATAGACGCTAAGAAAAAAATATATACGTTTTGCCTAAACATAATTTTACAAATTTCTAGCCATATTTTATTGTATATTCATTCCTTTTAATGTGTTTGTATTAAATTGTGTTGTATTTATATGTAAGTAATTGTCGTTTCTTCTATTTTCACATTATGTGTTAATTCATCAAGAATTCATAACGCACACATCATCAATCAAGTCTTCTACATATTGTGACAAGGCTTGAACAATATTATTCTGCCTGATGTAAATTGTATGTGATTAATATTAATAAATAGCCATATTTTAATTGCAATAATCGTATAGTAAATGAATCATGCCATTTTACGGTGCTGTTGTCCTTTGTAGTACAAAATATTGCCATTTCATACAATTACATTAATCATATGATTGAATGATTTTGTGCAGTCGAATTAATGTACTTACATGAATTACATTAAAATAAATTGTAATTAATATAGTATATTGTTATTGCTATGTAAATTCGATTGTACATGTCACCTCGATTTCAACCCTTGTTGTTAGTGCAGTAAGATTCATATTTGTTCATCGACATTTGTAACAGGCCATACATAATATTAACAAATCATTGCTCGTTGCGTTTGTTACGTAAAAGACTGATTTACTATGTTTCGTTGTTTATTTTAATGATATTTGTGATTGATAAATTCTATGTTGTAATATTCTTAAATACTGCCCATCAAATAATTACGTATTTAATTGTATTGTAATTAATTAGTGCTTTACATGTATTTATTACTTCTGGCTTATTCCCGCCATTCAATTTTAAATTAAACTGATGATCTATAAATTAAATTAATTTAGACTTTTTTATTATTTCATGTAATATGTATTCAGAAATAAATGTTCAATATTGTCTACTGTCTTAGTACATATTTTTAAACATTCCAAAACGAAAATAAGCCGTTTTTACATATATTTTCTTACCTTTGCAGTACAGTGAATAGTACAAAACGACGCTCTGTAACACACTTTATAATTTTGTACCCACTTGCCATTCCGCGTATAGTACTTGATTTGCTATTATTGTAAAGGGGTTCTGAGACTATCTCGGCGCCTTAGCTTTAAATAATATAAATTATTTTAGTGCAATTAATATGCCGTACGCAAGATGGCCGGCGGGACGGAGTGTGAATGTAATGTAGGAATGTAGACGATTATTTTTTAATAAATCCCGCGCTGCGTCTCGGGACACAGTGGATTCGCAAAATTATACATATGTATATGAAGAAATAAATTTATGTGAGACCATAATTTGTTGTTTTTGTACATTTCTTACATTTTTTTATAATGTTGCGTGATCTTCATTTGAAATTTTGAAGACGAATGAAAACATAATGAATAAACATACATAAGAATTGGCCTTTGGCCTCATCACTTATACAAATATGAAGAAGTTTAAACGTAGACTAGGCTGTACGGTCTAAGGATCTTTGCCTGTTCCATCATTAAAAAGGAGATGGACGAATGCCTACATTTTGTTAACTGAACTGTTAAATTAATACATAGTGACACATTATACGCACCTACTACTTTATTTCGTAGTAATGTTATTATCGGTGTTCACAGAATAATTGTGAAAAAATTGTGTTGTGTATGTCATATAAATTCTGTCTCTTATTTTTTATTTTTCTGATGGGGGAATGTCCGCAACATCTTTTTTTATTTAATTATAATGACATCGAATCATTGTAAGTAGTTTTTTTAAGGATGATAATGGAATAAATAACGTTTTACGGTAGCGGGGCACCTGTGGAGGATGATAAGATAAACATGAGGTCAGGTCAGTTAGCCCATCATTACAAATTCACCACTTATCATGATGCTTTTCAGGGGGAACCGCGTGGAGATCAACCTTGGTACATTGCTAGCAATGGTGACATTAGTCCACATTACTAACAATACCCTTCCCTCCGATGATAAATACACATACACATACATATACAGCACCACGAAAATCACATTCCACATTCCGAAGGTCTTATCCTGTATTATTATCCTACAACCGAATTAATTTACAAACCAACCTCCTGGGCGACTGGAATTGTTGAAACCGAGAAGTCTACGTTGACAACTTTTTATAAAAAAGTAAACTTGTTTCAATGTGTACATAATTATGAGTTCTTTGATTCTCTTTTTGTTATTATTAATTACAATAATTGTGAAATCTAAAATACAGGTTTCTACTTAGTTTATGTACCCAGGAACATTATAAAATGTAAATATTGTGTGAAAAAATAAAATTATCATTATTATTATTTTATTATCTTTCTATAACTTGCCTGCGTAGATCCTGCGTGACTTGAATACGTTACTACTATGTAAATAGTAATGTGTAGGTAGAAATTTATTAATGTAATGCGGGTACCTACCAAAATATTATGTCGTCCACAAATTGACACAATGAATACGTATTGCAGACCGTTAATTATAATATCCCAGAAACGTGTCCCGTGAGATTGCCCCGCCATTGTGGCCGGAAGGTCGACATTTCGTCCACGAGGTACTGTCTATGGAAACGTCTTTATAAATCTGTCTGTAATTTCGACCACGTGTGCATGATCACTATGGCTAACCATAAATTATGGTACTAGTTAAGGATAGACTGTGTATAATGTGTGACATTGTAACAATTAAATTTTAGTACTAAACACGATTTCTTATATGACTATCTGTTACAGGGGTTGGGGGATCAAAAATTGTAAAATTAATATGATGTATTTCTTTCTTCTTTCTTTCTTCACTTTCTCCGTTCCAAATTCCCTATACAAAATATGATGACGATTTTTTCAGCCAGAGCCATAAACAGGAAACTAACAAACTTACTACTACTGACGGCCACGGTGGTCTTGCGGTTTATCACACCGCCTGACTTTCGAAGGGTTCAATTAATTGTATTGGTATTGTCTATAAAAAATGTCTATGTATTTATATCAGTTATCTAATACTCATATCACAAGCTCTATTTAACTTGATTATAATAAAGAGGTTCACGATTGCAGTTACTAGACAAATTCCTACTTTACATAGATATAATATTGTACTATTAATAAATAAATTAAATAACAATAAATAATTACATAACCAGATATTTGGGTTATGGATTCCACCGAGGAATTCGACATTATTTTACACCAATGTAAGTATATTAAGTATATTATCCATTCGCACTATGTCTTTGGTAACCTATTGTCTCGCATACTGAAGCCTGAGACATCTCAAGCCTTTGAGTTCCATCCCAATGTGGAACTCGCTCTGATAGCTTGAGTCTGCCCAATCGGAATATGAATTGGAATTTACTACGATAGATGAGGCAGGTGTTAGCATATCAATGGATTGGCCAGTTAAGTAAATGATAACGATAGTCCATCTACATATTATCCTTATATTCTAGACCAGTGTTTCCCTGTAGGGCATGGGCCCCACCCATGCCCTACAGGGGGGCAATTTGATTGTTACGAGGGTCTCTTCGAAAATGGACTCCATCAAAAATTATATGGAATGTGAATTTAAATTTTTCATTATAAGTATGTTTTGAATATTTACTTACTATTTCATTAACAATTTTCTAGTAATTTCTTCATAAAACTATTATTTCTTTTTCGGTTTCTTCAAACTACTCAATCTTTTAACGTTATAAATTATGTATGTCACATAGGGGCCATAAGAACTTTAGAAAGGCTAATGTGTGGCATGGCATTAAAAAGTTTGAAAACACTGTTCTGATCTATTACATTATGAGAGTGTAGAACATGGACTTACAGTCAATTAAAAAGAAATGCCCTTGACTTAAGTAGGAAAACAGAATTCTCCTTCAGAATCAAGGACTGCGTGGACTCTTTGGAGATCATGGCATATCTATTAGATGAATTCAACAAAACAGTGTCGTCAAAATAAATACTTAATTGCATATTAAATTAGGTACATAATAGCGTTTTTTTATATACATTCAATATGCTGTGTGTCTTTTGTAGTAAATAGAAAAAATAAATACATATCATTTCATTTAATTTTAATTATACGATTATATTATATTATACATATAAGGAGATGACTGCGAACAGTGATGAATAAAAGAGAAAAACATAATTACGCCGACCCCATATAAATGATAAATGAATAGATAATAAATGAATGATAAGAAAGAAGCAGATGATGATGAATATGATTTTATTGTATGTAATAATTTAATTAGGATAATCTAATTTCAATAAAACAATCTAAATTGGAAGCCCAAAAAATATTTTAATGCGTAAAACAATATATTAAGTTATTATCATATTATTGTGTTGAATATTATGATTATTCTAATTAATGATAATGTATTTCATTTTAGTCCAATTCCATCCATAGATATAACTACAGATAAGATAAATCACAGATGACCACAATAGATTAGATACCATCCTCTTTCATTATAAACCTGTCAAAATATAATTAAGTATTGACTATTTAATTAAAGATAGAAAATAATATAAAGCAAAGCGTAACAACCATGCTCATTATAAAGATAAATACTCCATGTAAGTACCTCCATTAATTAAGTACCTAATCTAAACAACTTCGTAGAACATAAGTACCTAGGAAGTATATTTAAGTTTGTTAATAAACCACCTACGCATTCAGCGAAACAAACGTATGAGGTGTCATTCTTTAGTACTGTAATCCAAGTCGCTTTAAATTTAGCCCTTCACGTCTAATCTGAATATAAATTCAAAAATTCAAATAAATATCTTTATTCTTCTAGGTCTATTACAAATGATATGTCAAATCTACCGTCAGTCGGAATGATTTCGAGATGAAAAGAACTGACATGAAACTCAGCTGCTATTCTTTTCAAATAAATGTTGTACAAATTTACAATAATGCAAATGCATTTTTAAATTCAAATTTGGAAGAATAGAGTCGGTGGTGACTCTACCTATGCTATTGAAAAAGCAAATAATCTAACCAGTATTCGTAACCCGAACAGACCAGTCCCCACAAGCTATAGGTATATGATCTATATAAAATATATGTAGGTATAGATCATCAAGAGTGAGTATGAAATTTCAAAATTTGTATTACTTGGTATCTCCAGTGAATCGCCTGTCCATAATTTTCACTTGAGAATTTATTCCCAAAATACACTAGGTACTAATAACTTTTACATCATCCTACGTTACGGTATATTTAGATTCAGTAATAAAGAAAACAGATAAGTAAATATATTTTGCATGATAATATTTTTTTATTAAAGTAGACTTTTCTAAGATGTAAGATGCCATGTCACATTATTTCACTCGTTGAATGACGAGCTCTTCAACCGAATAACAGCTACAAAGATTATATTACTAGAACCACAGAAAAGGTAAGATTATGTAGATCAGATTTATCAAGATTATCTTTATCAGAAAAAAGCAGACAGAGTCGCGGTTAACAGGTGTTAGTTTAAGATGAAATTAAATATGTGGTTCATTAACAACTAGGTAGTTGTTAATGAACCACATATTTAATTTCATCTTAAACTAACACTCCTAACGTTAACTGAATATAAAAAAATTACACTATACTTCAAATATTCGTTAAAAGAGTCTGCTTTTAATATCGCCCTCTTTTCAAAGCTCTGCCGTAAAGTACCGAAGTATATTTTCTAAAAGCGGCTAAAATATGATTAATTACGTTTCGCATTTTACTGAATCGATAGGCTGTATATGTTTAAATCATCGGCTTAGTACCGAGTGGGGGCCATATTGGCCACAGCCCGTTCCCGCGATTTAATCCCTCCATAAATAACTGACTGTTGCTTGTCTATGGTTTAAAAAGGAATCGTTAGCGCTTTAAAAGGCTTCTTCTGTGAAACAGGATCCAGGATCGTGCCATTTTATTTATGTTATAATTATATATTTGTTTTCCGCTTACTTTTACCAACTTTCTATTAATGTTTGACCTTTAGTCGAAATATATAAGATATCTACTGCTAATAATATATTATCCAAATTTCAAATGCGATAATCTAGCAACTGCGTATCTATATATGGTAGCCCTTTCCAAGAAACTGTAATATGGGATTCACTAAGAAGAGCGATAATACTTAATAAGTCATAAAACGGGTACCATAATACCACACTACATAAATAGCTTACAATACTGCTCTTATTTGATGAATAAATAAAGTCTAAAGCATAAACTTTAAAATATGTAAAATAACTAATGAATAATTGTAATAACAGTTTGTTATCTATTATACTTAGATCATATTCG